TCCAAAAGTACAAATTTACGCACCTCTACGTATCATTACAAATAGTTTCTCCTGAATCAAAGTTTTCTATAAAACATCTATCCATGTCTCAGGTCCACTCCTGAACCAGAAAACAAACCCCGTTGACCTTAGAGACAGAACAGACACAGAATTGTACCACCTAGATTTGTGTATCATCCACTGCAAGGGTATGGCTAGCCAGATCTTGGTGGTGGACTACAATTCCCATGAACACTCACTGTCAGCTGAACTGGTTAAGATTGCTGGGAGTTGTAGTCTGGCAATATATAGAGGGCTACATATTACCCGCTTCTGTTTACTGTATACCCAAGAGTGTAAAGTAATGAGCTATTGTAATAAGTGAAGCTGTACATTCGATGCCAATCATTTAAGAACTGGGGAAAATTGTGAATGACTCAGGATTTGGGAAAAACTATGAATTTAGAAGCCACACTTTAAAACCCCTTGGATTAAAGAAGTGTCAAGTAGTTTGAAGTCAACAGGACACCCTCTCATGTGGACTGCCCTATTGAGGAGTAGCCTTTTTGAGAAAGGATCCTTTTTTGTGTGTTCTCGAAGGCTTTCACAGCCAGGATCTGATGGTTGTTGTGGGTTTTTCGGGCTCTTTGTCCATGTTCTGAAGGTTGTTCTTCCTGACGTTTCACCAGTCTCTGTGGCCGGCACCCTCCGAGGACAGGAGTAGGAACTACAGAGCATAGACTGAGTTCCTACTCCAGTCCTCTGAAGATGCTGGCCACAGAGACTGGCGAAACGTCAGGAAGAACAACCTTCAGAACATGGACAAAGAGCCGGAAAAACCCACAATAACTGATCCTTTTTTTTTTCAAGTGAGTGGGCATGCAAAATGTTTGAACCCACAGTGTTCTATGGTGTTCATTCTCTTTTCAATTAGTTTCACATTTACTGCATAACTTAAAAAATGGTAGAAGTGCAGAAACAAAACAAAGGCCAGATTTTGTGCTGCTAAAGGGGAGGAAGGAAGAGAAAGAAGGAGGTGGGGGTGGCCAGGGCTCTGACTCAAAGGAAAGGAATTTTGGTATACAAGACAATGATGGTGCAAACAGCATCTGCCATTTTCTTTGATGGCAAGCATCAAAGGACAAACAGGAATACATTGGGATACATGAGGCCTCCCTCCCCCCATGTTAAAAAGGTAAAGGTTCCCCTTGACAATTTGTCCAGTCGTGTCCGACTCATCTCCATTTCCAAACCATAGAGCTACCGTTCTCCGTGGTCACGTGGCCAGCGTGACTAGACATGGAATGCCATTTACCTTCCCACCGAGGTGGTACCTATTTATCTACTTGCATTTTTGCATTTTGCATGCTTTCAAACCGCTAGGTGTTGCTGTACTGCAATACCCATTATCCTCTACCATTAGCTTTGCTGGCTGGGGCATATGAGAACTGCAATCTAAGAGCATCTGTAAACCATCACCTGCTGTCCCATTCCTTTAGTGGTTGACATGTAAGCATGAAATCTCACTGGGCTGCTTTTCAGGAAATGTTCCCTGTGTTTCTATGTTGTTCTCAAACAAGGCTGGCAGTGGCTTCTTTGTGGTGGTGTAGTGATGAGTCAGACAGCCCGTGTCATCATCATGCGTCATCATAGGGCACAACCACCATATTACAGGAATTTGAAAGGAAGAAACCTAGGTTTAAACATGCCTAAATGAACCTTCCCACTATGCAACATTGCTTTTCAGTTGAGTCCCGTTTCTCACTTTCTGCTACAAGTCACGGGATGTTGAGGTATTAAGGCTGAAACAACAGGGTCAAATACCATGGATAAAATCAAAGTATTTTTTTGCTGACTGCTTAATGCAAACATTGATTCCAGTCAATCTAGCCTCTCTTTTTTGGCTCCCAAAATGGATTTTTAAAAATCTGCCACTGGGTGGCTTCTACTTTTTCATGCCCAAGTGATTTGATTGGGCTTTTCCCCATGGGGTTAGTTGTGATGCATTCTTGTAAAGATGAGTAGTGTGTCTGTAGGTGGTGTTTCAGTGATGTAGGCACTGGAGTGGTGACGTTCAAGACTGGGGGAAACATGGCCCCCACATTCTTTTCTCTTCCAAGGTTGTTCTCAGAATTTTAAATTTTTTTTTTAAAAAAGGTTCTTACATATAAGAGATTAATATTAGATCACCCTATCACCTTATTGTTATTCCTTGTAATTATTATTTCCTGTAATTACACCTCATAAAAGGATTGGTAGAGGCGACAGAGCAGAGAAGGAAGGAAGGATTGGGAGAGAGGAACCTAAGGAAGGAAGGAAGGAAGGCTTCTGGGTTGGAATGCAAATTCCATCATGTCCAATATGAATGGTGAACTCCTGAATCAGTCTGTAGCCCCTGTGTGAGGAGTGACCATGATTTCAAATACAGTGGTGCCTCGCTAGACAGTTACCTTGCATGACATTTTTTTCACTAGACATTGACTATTTGCGATCACTGTGTTGTTGTTTAGTCGTTTAGTTGTGTCCGACTCTTCATGACCCCATGGACCAGAGCACGCCAGGCTGTCCTGTCTTCCACTGCCTCCCGGAGCTGGGCCAAATTCATGTTGGTCGCTTCGATGACACTGTCCAACCATCTCATCCCTGGTTTGCCTGTACCAGAACGCCTCACTTAAGATATATATGGTGCAAGTGTACTTATTTTTAATTGGAAAATATATTAAGTACTGTATTTTTTTTTTAAAAAATGCTACTATGTTCCACACATGATCCTGGAAAGCCATTACAAAAATACCCAGAAGGCAGCTATGTAATTGGATAGCGATGCACACCCCTCCTTTCAAATGTCAAAATATTTAGCATCTCCAATTAAAGAGAATCAGGCCAGATGGCGAAGTGAAGAGGTTTTTCTCTTCCTCTCCAGGGTCTCATTTAATTCTTGCAAAATACAGTGGTGCCTCGCTAGACAGTTACCCCGCATGACAGTTTTTTCGCTAGACATTGGCTTTTTGCGACTGCTATATCGATTTGCAAAACAGTGATTCCTATGGGGGAATTTCGCTGGACAATGTTTGGTCCCTGCTTCACAAACTGATTTTCGCTAAACAACAATTTTGACAGCTCCCTCCGTGCTCGCAAAACGGGTGTTTTTGGGACCCAAGCTTCGCAAGACAGCGATTTAAACATCTGATGGGTGGTTCGCAAAGCAGCTTTCCTATGGCCGATCTTCACTAGACAACAACGATTCTTTCCCATTGGAACACATTAATCAGGTATCAATGCATGCCAATGCGGAAATGCTTTTCGCTAGACAATGATTTTGCTGAACAGCGATTTCAGTGGAATAGATTATCATCGTCTAGCGAGGCACCAGTGTATAATGGAGGCTTCGAATCAAATCAGAGAAAAGCCATATTGCACTATTTTGACTTTTGAGTGTAACCGCACCCTAAAAGGTGTGAAATTTCGCTTACTGTATCTGTGAATGTAGTACTCCCACAGGTATTCTACAGTCTTGACATTTTGGAAGTGTAATTATGCCACTGTTCAAATACTTAAAGAAGAATATTGTGTGCTGATTTTTCATGTTGGTAAACAGCGTTATTCCAAAACCTGTACACACAATGAATTAATCATACTGTATGTGTAATTTACAAAACCCTACCTTCAGGCAACTGTTTCATAAAGGGTGCTGGTTTGCCTGTACCAGAACGCCTCACTTAAGATATATATGGTGCAAGTGTACTTATTTTTAATTGGAAAATATATTAAGTACTGTATTTTTTTTTTAAAAAATGCTACTATGTTCCACACATGATCCTGGAAAGCCATTACGAAAATACCCAGAAGGCAGCTATGTAATTGGATGGCGATGCACACCGCTCCTTTCAAATGTCAAAATATTTAGCATCTCCAATTAAAGCCAATCAGGCCAGATGGCGAAGTGAAGAGGTTTTTCTCTTCCTCTTCAGTGTCTCATTTAATTCTTGCAAAATACAGTGGTGCCTCACTAGACAGGTACCCCGCATGACAGTTTTTCGCTAGACATTGGCTTTTTGCGATTGCTATAGTGATTCGCAAAACAGTGATTCCTATGGGGGAATTTCGCTGGACAATGTTTGGTCCCTGCTTCGCAAACCGATTTTCGCTAGACAACGATTTTGACAGCTCCCTCCGCACTCGTGGGACCTAACCTTCGCCAGACAGCGATTTAAACAGCCGATCGGCGGTTCGCAAAGTGGCTTTCCTATGGCCGATCTTCGCTAGACAACGACGATTCTTCCCCATTGGTACGCATTAAACAGGTTTCAGTGCATTCCAATGGGGAAAATGCTTTTTGCTCGACGATGATGTCGCTAAGAACGGATTATCATCGTCTAGCGAGGCACCACTTGTACACATTTCTAAGAGGTGTTGTTTAATCGCTGCCAAGTACTCCTTGAGTGTTTCTACCTGCTACTTTCTTTCCGTCCCTCCAACCCTCCCCACCCCTTCAAGCGGATAGAGAACTAAAGATACAGGGAGAAAGGTGCCTTCTTTTTTTCAGGCGATCGTAATCTGAGACTTTCCCGTTACATGAGGCGCTTAAACAAAAGAGCGTTCGAGTGTAATTCCACCAGCAGCTTTGTTTGGGAAGGTACCATTGGCCTCCCTGCTGCTTGTGTGCTGGGGGGGGGGGTTGGGAGGTTTCGGCGGCAAGGCTGAGACCCGGCTCCCCCCTTCCGGGCTGGGGTGTTGGAACGGGCCCCTGCTTCGGATGCCCAGGCGGGCCTTGGGGGGGCGTCTTCCTTCTCCCACCTCCCGCGTGTCTCTCTCTCTCCCCCCCCCACCGCCTTCCTTTGGTACAGTCTCGGTTTCCTCTACAATGCGAATCAGTGACATCATCACTAAACACACAGCGAGTGGCTACTGATGCGGTTGCGAACGCGGGCTGGGGAGGTGTGCGCGAGCTACTGGGAGGAGGTTTTGCAAAAGGAAGGGGAGAGAAGGTAGCAGGAGGAGGAGGAGGAGGAGGAGGAGAGGCGGCGGCGGCGGCAAGGGGAAAAAGAAGGGCAGGCAGCGATCCCACGTTGGGGTGGACTCTGGATTGCAAACGGAGCGCGGGATCCGGTTTGGAGAGGGAGATCGGATGGCTTGGGAAGCTTAGGGTGAATTCTGGCGGGCGAAGCGTTGGAGGATCGCGTTGCAAGCGCGGCAAAAAGGGGGCAAAAAGACGCAAGCCGCCGCCCGCCCCCCTCCAAAACCACGCTGCCGCTGTGTAAATTCGCTGGCGCCTTCCGCGCTGCTGCTGCTGCTTTAGTCTAGTCTCTGCTCGCGATTTGAAACAATATTTAAGAAGAAATTTTGAGGAAATGGTGTGAAGGAGGGCAAAGCCCTTGGGAGGATCGGCTTGGATTCTTCATGGTGAAGCAACCGGTGGGGTTGCTGTCTTGACAAAACAAACAACAACAACACAACACACCGGCACACTTCTGGGTTTTGCATGCGTGGATTTATCCTCCTCAACACCACGTCCCACCTAAATGGAATTACAGAACTCGGCCACCCTGCCGGGGCAGTTGTCCCCGGGCTACACGGCTTCCGTGCCGTATAATTATAATCAATTAGAAGGAAGATTCAAGCAGCTGCAAGGTAAGGGCGAGTCTTAGCCTTTCCTTCTTTCCCTTTCCCTATGGGGCCGTTGCTACGATTTTAATATATATATATATATAGTAATAGCACGATGAGGTGGTTTCTGATGCTCGCTCGTGTGAAAGGCCCTTAGTTTTTCCCAAGGGTCGGTTGATTACGTGCTCCTTGCTCGGGAGGCTGGTTTTTCTCGTTCTCCCAGTGAGTGCCCGGGCACCGGCTCCAGCCGTAAAGGTGCGAAGGGGGCTCCTTCTGGGGGACCCTGGCATTTAGAACAATAGGGCCAGGCGGTGGGGGGAGGGGTGTGGTCTTTTTGTCTGAAATCGCCCTCTGGCCATGGACGATCGTCAGGTGCTGAACAGAAGACTTCCGTCCCTTTCTGAACCTTTGAGAGCATCCTTCTTAGGGGGAGTGCCCGCACATAGCAGGAATGTGTTTTTTTTTGCACCCTATTATTTTCCAGGATCATGTGAATCTCCGGGTGTCTTTCTTTCCAAAGCCCTCCCTTCTGTTGTGTTGGTGGACACCTTTCCACTTCCTGGTGGAAATCCCATTCTTTGCATTCCACCGATGATGGAGGGAGGGAAACAGAAAGGGGGGCAGGGGGTGGTCCTTCATAGTGATGATTGCACAGGTTTGGGAATCAGGGTTCCACCCCCCTCCCCTGTTTTTTTATTTTGATTTTTTACAGTCACTTGACAAATTGACACAAAGAGAGATTTGTTGTGCCTGGTCTTCTGCCCCAAACCTGATGGATCCAGATGGTTCCGGGTGGTTCGGGATCAGGTTTGGGGTGTGTTGGGAGATGGACATTTGGGGTCCCTTGTTAATTTGTGGTGATTGTGATACGAATGAGACAAAGGTCCTTCAGTGAGTGTGGGATTGGACGGAGCTGCAAATCAAAACAAACCCATTGTGTGTTTGTACATTTTTTTTCTGGAAATGAATATCCACATGGAGCAGTCAGAAGTTCAAACCACACTGAATGCATCTTTATTTTTACTATCCGACAGAGTATTGTGGTTCCTGTCAGAAATAGAACGGGAGCCCAAAGAATGCCATCTTCTGGTTTGGTTTTATGATTTTACGTTGGCTTGTGTTTCTTGCTCCCCCTCCAACCTTCATTGTACTTTTATTGATCTCTCTGGAAAAGGCACACAGGAATGCCCCTTCCTTCCCACAGATATAGATTCATTGTACTTTTATTGATCTCTGTGGAAAAGGCACACAGGAATGCCCCCTTCCTTCCCACAGATATAGATAAACTTGGACAAACTTTAACTGCCGTTAAGCAAACTGGGTGGTGACTCGGGCCAGATTCCCTTAGGAAACATGATTAGTAAATCTACACACAGAGGAATAGAGGAGGACCTGGAAAACATACACCTGAGACAGAATGTTCCGGTCTGAAGCAGTCTGGTGGTTCAGGATTCGAGCCAACCAAGCAGCCATACTTTTTCCTAGAATACTTCATTCAATGTCCTGTCTTCCTTTGGTGTCCTCCTCACCTCTACAGTGATCATCATTTTGAGGCTTCTGAAGAATCTTCATTTGTTTCTTTTTTGGGAGGGGTGTCTCCTCGTTTGCATCTGATAAAGTAAATTGCTACGCATTAAAAGTTCCATCACATAAAACTACAGTAATTAGTCTCTAAACTGGAATTTTTAGTTTTTGCTACTACAGACTAAGACAGGTCTGACATTCCTCTGCTTTTCTTTCCTTTAAGGAAATTTATTTTGCAAACCACTTTATTATCTCTGTTCTGTCTTGTATTGCAGAGTATTAATTGGGCTACATAAGGATTTTTTCATTCATTCATTAGTATATAGGTTTCATAGAGGGGTTTTTTGGTGGTGGTTGTCAAAATATGGATGCGAATTGAAAATACTACTGTAGCGTGGCCAAGAGTTTGTTCAGTGGAAGAAAGGTGACATAAAAAATGAAATGAATAAATAAATAAGGTCTTGTGTATGCCCAGAGTGGTTATCTTTACCCTTTTTCTGAACAGAAAAACATGTTTAAGGAACCATAAGCCCACAAGCTCTCAGGTGCAAGAAAGTATTTGCAAAGTTTTTTCTGTTCCTGTCATAGTTTCTGGGTTGTTGCTGAAAATTTTGACTGACACTGAGAGTGGGTGATAATTGCTTCCTCCCCATCTCTAAACATAGCCTTGAAAAATCAGAATTGACATTTTTTAAAAGTTTTCTTGATTTGGAAATTCATTGGTAGCCTATTCTATGAGCAACTAAACTGACCTTGCTTGGGGTTGAAATGGTATTTACCTAGAGTAAGAGTAAACATATGACAACCCAGATCTTCAGTGTTGCTGGTGTTATGAAGAGTATTTGGATTTAAACCCATGAAATGTTTTTTTAACAACGCACAAAACAAAACTCATAAAAGTCTGCTGGTAACCAGGGAGCCTGGCTAATTCTTTCAGTCTCAAGTTGTTTGGTATTTATTGAATTAGATTTATTGCTCAAGATGAGGAATGCTTCCTTATCTCATTCATTCTTTGACCTGTGAGGAAAGCCATCTGTTATGGACAAAAAGAGCAATATGGCGTATTTACTGAAAGCTCATGTGGTGCAGTTGCCTGGGTCTCAAATTTAGTCTCAGGAGAGCTGAGTTCAAATTCCGACTCAACCATGGAAACTAACTGGAGAACGCAATTGGTAAACTGCTCTTTGAACATAAAAGCCTTCTTACAAGGCTTGCCATAGCTCAGTAGTGATTTTAGTGGCATATGGCAACAACAGAAGGTTTAATGTGTGCATATCCAACCCATTTATACTCTTCCAATGACCATTGGCAGCTATTAGCCATGGTGGCTATCTGTCCTCTCCAATATGAGAAGCAGCATGCTTCAGTGTATTGGAAATTGGGAAGATGAGCAGGAAATGGTGGGGAACACATGTGCACTAGTGGGCTTTCCACCAGCATCCTTTGGCCGCTCTGTCAGTAGAATGTTGGACCACACAGGCCTTCAGTTTGATCTAACAGGATGTTTCTTCCACATTCATGTTGACATATTTGCGTGTCTGTGTCTATAATTATCTGATCATCTCAATGGGTATTCAAGGCAGATTAAGACGTAGAGGCTGGTGTAAGTGGACATCACTAAATTACAGAGTTGTCATGTACCAGAAGCAACATGACAGCCTATAACAGTAAAAAGAAGTCACAGCCAGGGGTGACCCATGGAGACAGGCATTTTAAGCCAGCTCTATGTGACCAAAAAAACAGCCACTACTATATGGTTTACTTTCAAGAATTCTGTCTCTGAAACAATTTATCTTTTTCTTTTCTTCTCCGAACCTCACAGCTTCTGCACAGTGCCGCTTGCCTCCTTGCAGGAATGCTAGCCCATTCATCTAATTTGAGGTTTGGTGGCAGTGAGGAGAGGAAGGGAAACCATATCAAGTAATTGTAATACAAGTCTTGTGCTGCTGGCCGTTTCCCTGGCAACTCTAGTTCTGAAGCATGAGAACCTCAATTAAAACAAACAAACTTGCAAGCGTCTTCTGTGAAATGAAAACGTGTAATTTCTAACGGCAAAAGCAAAAAAAAAGAAAAAAGAAAAAAAAAGGCCTGGGGGGTAATAACTTGAATGCTTGCCTTATTTATTTCTTTGTCCTTAAAGGTTTTTGAAATCATTTTTATCCCAATTCTTTAAACCTTTTTAGGCCAACAGCAGCTCGCAAACTAGTGTATACAAAAGGTCAAAGCAAAAGTCAACAGCAACGGTTAAAACATCTCATGAAACGGGCTCCAGTCAATAAGAGCTTGTTGTCACATGATTTGGTGGCCAGGATCCTACTGTTGTTCTTCATGTGTAGAAGTGAAATCATGTCATTATTACTAACTAACGTGGTCCTGGTTGCATTTCTGATGGTGCAAGGTGGAATGCCACCAGCACTTCCTCATTTTCCAGCAATTTATCACTTCAGTTCAGATGAGTTCACTTATGCATGCTACACCTCCAGAGGAATACTGGCCTGTGGACGTTTTGCTGCAACAAATTAGCACTGCCATTCCTGGCAGTCTCTTAACCATCAAGGCTTTATTCCTGAAGGCTTGTGTAATTAAGTAGCATCTGATATATTTTATGTATTAAGCTGTATTTCTTAATGTTTTGTGATTCCTTTGTTTCCCTTCAGAACACTGCGCTTCCTTTAGTTGATGTTGGCATTTTTCCTCTTTTGAAAGCTATATAAATAAAATAAATAACCATTGTGTATGGTAATTATGCTTTGTACAACCCCATGTTGACTTGCTCTGTTCATCCAGAAGATAATCCTATGCCGCCCTCCAAATTAAGTAGCAAGGGAATGCATCCGGTGTGCCAACAAAACACAGCCCCTGCTTTGAAACACAGTTCCATTCTAATACACTTTGTGTTTTTAAACGTAACACAGATTTTGTTCTGCCCCTTTTCAGTTTTTAAAAAAAATTTTCATTGACCTTCTACTCTTTGTTTAGGTGATAGCAAAAAGTTTTAGTCAGTTTCTCTCTCCACTCCTTTTAGAGAGACTTCTGGTATGTATTTACAAAAAAAAGTATTGTTCCCTGGGAGGGGAAAACCCATTTGGGGTCTGTAGGAGAAGGCCGTTCTCATGAACTTGGCTTCTAGTGAATAGCAGCAGCTGATACAAATTCCTTGGATCCCTGAAGAATTCCATGGAAACTCAGGCACAGATGAGTTATTATTTTGGATAAATGAGAATGAATGTGATACTGGTAAGAACCCAGAGTTTTTCCGCCTATGGAGACTTTGAAGTCTGCTTAAATGGTGCATCTGTTTTGAAATGCTGATACAGCTTTTGGATAGCTCAAAATATAAGGGGTCGGGAGTTTGATTCCCCACTGTGCCTCCTTGACTGGGGCTGGACTTGATGATCCACAGGGTCCCTTCTAGCTCTGCAGTTCTAAGATGATTCTACAGTGCTAAGAAATATTTTGAAGACAATTCTTCTTTTTCTTCTTCTCCTCCTCCTCCTTCT